ACGAACGTGAGGGGAGCTAGGCTCCTCTCACAGTTCGCCCTGAAGACCGGAACAGCGCGGGAACACGGCGAGAGGAACGCGCGGAGCAAAGGTAAGTGAATTGACACAGGGGATTTGGCTTACTACTTGGGGGGGAATAGTACTGTTGGGGATGAAATACTATATGAGGGATGAATTAATATGAGGGATGAATTACTATATGGGGGATGAATTACTATGGGGGATGAATTACTATGGGGGATGAATTACTATGGGGGATGAATTAATATGGGGGATGAATTAATATGGGGGATGAATTACTATAGGGGGGATGAATTACTATGGGGGATGAATTAATATGGGGAATGAATTACTATATGAGGGATGAATTACTATATGGGGGATGAATTACTATGGGGGATGAATTAATATGGGGGATGAATTAATATGGGGGATGAATTAATATGGGGAATGAATTACTATGGGGGATGAATTACTATATGGGGGATGAATTACTATGTGGGGGATGAATTACTATGGGGGATGAATTACTATATGGGGGATTAATTACTATGGGGGATGAATTAATATGGGGGATGAATTAATATGGGGGATGAATTAATATGGGGAATGAATTACCATATGGGGGATGAATTACCATATGGGGGATGAATTACTATGGGGGATGAATTACTATATGGGGGATGAATTACTATATGGGGGATGAATTACTATGGGGGATGAATTACTATATGGGGGATGAATTACTATATGGGGGATGAATTACTATGCTTACTATGGGGGAATATTACTATACTTACTATGGATGACACATACACATCATTCATCTACTCTTGGTCTGGCCCCCGGGTCCAATATATGAACCCATTGCGGCCCTCAAGTCAAAAAGTTTGCCCACCCCTGGACTAGAGACTGTAGGCTATGGACTCGTAACTGTGGACTATGAACAAGGGACTATGAGCTGTGGACTAGGGGTAAAGGACTATGGGCTATTCAGATTCAGAATACTATATTAATCCTAAAGGGAAATTATCCATATCATAGTTTAGGGACTATAGGCTATGGACTGGTAAGTATGGACAAAGGACTATGGACTAGGGGTAATGGACTATTCAGATTCAGAATACTTTATTATTTCCCAAAGGGAAATTATCCATATCATGGGTTAGGGACTATAGTCTATGGACTGATAAGTATGAGCTGTGGACAAAGGACTAGGCTGTATGGACTAGGGGTAATGGATATTACCAGATTCAGAATACTTTATTAATCCCAAAGAGAATGGATTCATATCATGGGGTAGGCACTAGAGACTTTAGGCTATGTATTGGTAATTATGAGCTTTGGACTGGTAACTATGGGCTATGGACTATAGGCTATGGACTGGTAACTATGGGCTGTGGACTATAGGCTATGGACTGGTAACTATGGGCTGTGGACTATAGGCTATGGACTGGTAACTATGGGCTGTGGACTAGGAGTAACGGACTATAGGCTATGGACTGGTAACTATGGGCTGTGGACTAGGGGTAACGGACTATAGGCTATGGACTGGTGACTATGGGCTGTGGACTAGAGGTAACGGACTATAGGCTATGGAATGGTAACTATGGGCTATGGACCAGGGGTAATGGACTATAGGCTATGGACTGGTAACTATGGGCTATGGACCAGGGGTAATGGACTATAGGCTATGGACTGGTAACTATGGGCTGTGGACTAGGGGTAACGGACTATGAGCAATGGAGCTAGTGGTCGTAGTACAAATGCCATTACCAGACAATCTGTATTCCTCCCTCCCTGCTTTGGCAGAATCTGATTGATTGATTTGGGCTACACCGGCACATTATTATAGTCGCTGTGCTGTCACGTATCACATACACAATTATGACCTATTGTACCTCTGGACCCTCCGTGTTAAATTGTAAGCTCTGCTGAGCCGGACCCTCTGACTCCTGTTATACCGACTTGTATTGTCACTGTATTGTCTCCCTTTACATTGTACAGCGCTGAGCACACTGTTGGCGCCATATAAATCCTGTATAATAATAGTACTGCAGTGTGACCTGTGCTGACGTTGGTGTTGCAGATGGCCGAGCAGTTGATGACGCTGGCGTACGACAATGGAATTAATCTTTTTGACACAGCCGAAGTTTACGCTGCAGGAAAGTAAGTAAAGCATGGACCTTCTATTATCTGCCATCAATGTTTATCGATTTCCTCCAATTCCTGAGATTCTTTGGAAGGTATAAGAATTACTTGCACACGGGTCAGTTGGATTCCTTGTTTTCCCATCCTCAGGTACCTTTAGTAAAGTCACCATCCTCAGGTACCTTTAGTAAAGTCACCATCCTCAGGTACCTTCTCTAAAGTCACCATCCTCCGGTACCTTTAGTAAAGTCACCATCCTCAGGTACCTTCTCTAAAGTCACCATCCTCAGGTACCTTCTCTAAAATCACCATCCTCAGGTACCTTTCCTAAAGTCACCATTCTCAGGTACCTTCTCTAAAGTCACCATCCTCAGGTACTTTTCTTAAAGTCGCCATCCTCAGGTAAATTGCCTAAAGTCGCCATCCTCCGGTACCTTCCCTAAAGTCACCATCCTCCGGTACCTTCCCTAAAGTCACCATCCTCCGGTACCTTCCCTAAAGTCACCATCCTCCGGTACCTTCCCTAAAGTCACCATCCTCCGGTACCTGCCCTAAAGTCACCATCCTCCGGTACCTTCCCTAAAGTCACCATCCTCCGGTACCTTCCCTAAAGTCACCATCCTCCGGTACCTTCCCTAAAGTCACCATCCTCCGGTACCTTCCCTAAAGTCACCATCCTCCGGTACCTTCCCTAAAGTCACCATCCTCCGGTACCTTCCCTAAAGTCACCATCCTCCGGTACCTTCCCTAAAGTCACCATCCTCAGGTACCTTCCCTAAAGTCACCATCCTCCGGTACCTTCCCTAAAGTCACCATCCTCCGGTACCTTCCCTAAAGTCACCATCCTCCGGTACCTTCCCTAAAGTCACCATCCTCCGGTACCTTCCCTAAAGTCACCATCCTCCGGTACCTTCCCTAAAGTCACCATCCTCCGGTACCTTCCCTAAAGTCACCATCCTCCGGTACCTTCCCTAAAGTCACCATCCTCCGCTACCTTTCCTAAAGTCACCATCCTCCGCTACCTTCCCTAAAGTCACCATCCTCTGGTACCTTCCCTAAAGTCACCATCCTCTGGTACCTTCCCTAAAGTCACCATCCTCAGGTACCTTCCCTAAAGTCACCATCCTCAGGTACCTTCCCTAAAGTCACCATCCTCAGGTACCTTCCCTAAAGTCACCATCCTCCGGTACCTTCCCTAAAGTCACCATCCTCCGGTACCTTCCCAGAGACATTAAGTTTAAGTCTTAGTGTGCTGCCTGAGTATGTTGTCATAATGGGAGCAGTCAGGTATCCATTGGCAACAATAGTTGACCATACCAAGGAAGGAGAACATTTCCTTTTTAGTTTTTGGCTGGGGCAGACCCGTAATGGCTTGGATCCTGGAATGGCTCACCATTCTGGTGCCTTGTGACAAAGTGAAACCCAAATAATCCACCAAAATTTGACAACATTATACTTTATGCCTTGCCACCTTTGTACCCAGAAACTTTAACAGAGATATACTGTCCTGCCTACAAGCCTCCCTGTTGGGTAAACCACATACTTGAGCAGTGTGGAACCATGGTGGGGTGCCCAACCCTTGAAGGATTCTCAGAGGGCCATGGAATTTACAGCCGGAGAATTCACATAGCCTGAAGGCAATCTGTTCGTTGGCCAGAGTAAAACTTAACAGTTATTTCTCTTGGATGGAATACAAAAAAAAAAAAAAACTTTGCTTAAATCGATCACAGTATAATACTGTATATCATGTGGAATGGAGGTAATCTTTGGGGGCACATCTGGGACGATGGGTGCAATTGGAATAACGAGATTGTTAATGGCCCTGAGATCTTGTACTAAACGGTAAGTACCATCAATCTTTTCTTGTGACAAAGGATGCTGCTTTTGATATACTAACTCCAGGTTTGAGTCTGGCCTTGTAAGGTATACAGAGAATATACTCTACATCTAGGGTACTGTTGGTCCAGATTTCAGGCTTCATTTTGTCTAAATCCTCACAAAACAGTGAGATGACTCCATGTGCACCCCTCCCTTCTCACTTACTCTGATTGTGGCCTTGAATCATCCCAACAGATCTCTGCCTAACAAGTTCACAGGGCATCCTGGTATGAGTTTGGAAGAATGTTTCACAATGGAACCTTCCCGTGAGAGTCTGAAACACTCAAAAGTGTTTCCCAGTTTTTGGTGATACCAACTGAAGGTTCACATTCTACTCTTGTCCCTTTCTTCTGTTGCTACCTCTTTCTCCAGGATTAGAACTATGTTGTAAGCCCTGAAAATGTGCTTTGTTGGTAGATTTGGGGACCTCAAAACTTCCAGTGGTGTCTTTCTCCCCCCCAATATGCCATACTCCTTTTGCTGTTGTTGCACATTAGGGAGAGTGTTCTGATCCAACTGCAAAGGACCATGGTCACCTAATTTGCATACTAACTTTCATACCTTTTAGTATGCAAATTAGGGTGCCAATACTCCTTTTGTTGTGATTGTTGCACATTAGGGAGAGTGTTGTGATCCAATCAAAGGACCAAATTGTCACCCTAATTTGTATATCCCTCAAGAAGTGTGGGGGAACGGGGAATTATTCAAAAATATGGAAATTTGTCTGACACATTACCCACCCAGAAAACCCCTACTTTTTCCCAGATGCCCGCTAGGTTTGTTGGATTGGACACGCACTGATCCAATGGATCACCATCCCCCGCTTCCATGAATAATGATGATTTTGGACCATACTATTTTTAACTTAGGGAGAGCATTGTATCTAATTAGCATATTTGCTCTCTCTCCCTCTCTGGTGAGGGGGACCTATTATGTTATTGAGAGACTCTGGGGAGGAATGCACTAGATGATGTTGGACGTCCTCCATCCAGGAAAGGAGGCGGAGCTCTATCTGAATTGCTGCAGCTTCTAATGCACATTGTGAGAAGCTCCCATTGTGCAGTGACATCAGAGGAAGCCATTCCAGTCAAGGAGAGAAGCCGATACACCTGTGCAAGACTGGAGGGGAGGAGCCGGTACACCTGTGCAAGACTGGAGGGGAGGAGCCGATACACCTGTGCAAGACTGAAGGGGAGGAGTCGGTACACCTGTGCAAGACTAAAGGGGAGGAGCGGCAACACCTGTGCAGGACTAAAGGGGAGGAGCTGCAACACCTGTGCAAGACTGAAGGGGAGGAGTCGGTACACCTGTGCAAGACTGAAGGGGAGGAGCCGGTACACCTGTGCAAGACTGAAGGGGAGGAGCCGGTACACCTGTGCAAGACTGAAGGGGAGGAGCCGGTACACCTGTGCAAGACTGAAGGGGAGACTATTTTTGGAAAAAAGAAGAAAAAATGATGAAGATGAACGCAGCCTCCCCCATTAAGCGTCACTAATTAACGAAACCCATTTTGGACATCACAGCGAAGACAATAATTGAGTTTCAAATCCTTTTCCAGAAAAGTTCTTTGTTCTCCATTTGTATTGGAATCTCTGAGAATCTTCATCTTGGTAGAAAAGACGATTTTTCTGCTGCAATTTCCGGCCTCAAATGATGAGAGGCCCAGTGTGGAGATTACCATCTCTATTCCCCTTCAGAGGGTTCTCTGTGTATATGAGTGACTTCTGTTATCCCTCCTCCGAGCTCCTCTCTGTATAGGAGAGATTAGAGAATTTCCAGAGGAGTCTATTAGAACCAGCAATTGTTCATTTCCTGAGGATCTGATATCTACTACACCCGGGACAATGAGCTAATGAGGGCTGGGATGGGATTCCTTCTCCTGAAACTTGGTGATGGTCAGAGACTGCAGACATAGTACAGGAGATGGTCAGAGACTGCAGACATGATAGAAGAGATGGTCAGAGACTGCGGACATGATAGAAGAGATGGTCAGAGACTGCAGACATAGTACAGGAGATGTTCAGAGACTGCAGACATGATACAGGAGATGGTCAGAGACTGCAGACATGATACAGGAGATGGTCAGAGACTGCAGACATGATACAAGAGATGGTCAGAGACTGCAGACATGATACAAGAGATGGTCAGAGACTGCAGACATGATACAAGAGATGGTCAGAGACTGCAGACATGATACAAGAGATGGTCAGAGACTGCAGACATGATACAAGAGATGGTCAGAGACTGCAGACATGATACAAGAGATGGTCAGAGACTGCAGACATGATACAAGAGATGGTCAGAGACTGCGGACATAGTACAGGAGATGGTCAGAGACTGCAGACATACTACAGGAGATGGTCAGAGACTGCAGACATGATAGAAGAGATGGTCAGAGACTGCAGACATACTACAGGAGATGGTCAGAGACTGCAGACATGATGCAGGAGATGGTCAGAGACTGAAGACACGATACAGGAGATGGTCAGAGACTGAAGACACGATACAGGAGATGGTCAGAGACTGCAAACATGATGCAGGTGATGGTCAGAGACTGCAGACACACTAAAAGAGCAGTGTTGAGCCTGCTAGCATCATAAGTTTCCTCTGCCTAGCCACAGCCTCATTTATAACACCCCTGTAGTTCACCAATGACACCCCCACCCTGCCTCCACCTCCGCCCCCTACCCCCACCCCGTACACCTGTCCCCACAGTCCACTATCAATGGGATTGGCGTCGCAAGGGAATTATCTTCCATATTGCTACAATTTGCAAACAGTGAACACTACAAGATGAAATGACCTGAGATGATATCCATACATCACTGAATTCCATCCTCACTCCTCTTCTTGTTTGAGAGAGTTTAGTCCCACTAAAATCATAAATCAGCACACAAAATGCATGCCTAAGCTAAGGGCAGATGGATTCCAGGAAGTCAATGCTATATGAAGCGCCTGCCCTTACTCAAGATGGCCACGACCAGACATGTTAAGTGGGGTGTTTTTCAAAGTAATTTCTCATTAAAATGAAGCATGGAGACATGGATAAGGGGGGGGGGGGGGGGTGGATGATTGGATGGATGGATGGACGGGGGAGTTTGCTTTGAATATTAGTGTTTTTGGATTATGGTGCTCAGATGCAGTTTAATTCCTCTTCTTTTCCCGCCACTGTGACCTGTGGCCCCTTCATGTCCCTGGCCGGTCCTCGTCCTCACCTCTCTGTGTCGTTTTCAGGGCAGAAGTCGTATTAGGAAACATCATCAAGAAGAAAGGTTGGAGGTAATTATTTGCACTTTGTGTGATGAATCTTTCATGCGGTGACCAGTTTCATGTGCACACTTCTTGCTCAGGAGTGAAAAAAAAGGTCGCTGTGAATTATTAATGCCGCCAAATACCGCCGCTTAATTTCTTGATATCGCGTCGGGTATAAAACTCGCACGCCCTGCGCGGTGGAAAGTGGAAACGCCATTC